CACCACCGCCCCCACCGCCGCCGCCGCCTCGTCCCATCGTGGGTGTGAGATGCCTTATCGATGCCGTCGGGCTAAGAATCTGCGCTCCGGTGCTCTTCGCTCTCCGGGTAACTCGTATCCGCCCCCCTAGAGGAGCTTGTTGCGCGCTCATCGATAGGCTCTCCAACGAACAGGCCGCAGTGTGCCTCTGCTTCGCCGCCAGCAACAGTTTCCTCGGACTTAATCTGCAGATTCCCGAGGACGTCGCGTTGCTCCTGAATTTCTGCGGCAGGCCGGTGCCTGCTGGGTTGTCCTGCCCTTAAAACTTTTGATTCGTACAGATGAATAGACTCCAGTGTTCAGTGATTCCCACGCCGCCTTATCTGTGCTCCTAGACGCTGCTGTGAGCAACTGCCAGCATTTTCTGGTTAACATCCTTGTGTTTTATCGTGCTACCTTCATTTGGTTTCCGAATTACAGCAATAAACTGTTTGTGTTTGGTTACTCCACAACACGTGAGAGCCATCTTTCGGGCACACTGATTGCAGTATGGAAGCCAAAACAATCACGTGAAACTGGTACCAATAAATCCAGAACTCATTTATAATGCCGGGTTCTGCAAGCTTGAGATTAGAGGAGACTAAGTTTCGGTACCCCTACCACAAAGGTGTTGGGATCTGAGCGGGGACTCCACGGGCAAACACTCAGAAAAGAAAATCTCTGAGGCGGAGTGTATTTCTACATTCTTTCCTCTCATAGAGAACACCCTATCGAGGAGCTCATTGGACCCGGTGAGTTGGGCCCATAGACTGGAGGGTGTTCCCACTGTGGATGTAGAGAAATGAGAAGTAGAGAGAAGTTTTGGCAGAAGAGAGGAAGGAATCTCTCGTATGTATTCCTCGCACCTCAAATGCTTACAAGGGTCCATATATATATCATACAATGTGTTACCGTTGTAATATCTAATATAGGTAAGAGTTTTATTTAGTTATATTTTTAAAACACGTAACCACTGGCCTTGTGTCTCACTAATGTTCGTTCCCGTAAATCGGTGGTTACGACGGTTCACGGTTTCCTCTTTTAAGTCGCTGTAACCTCCGGTTCAAGATTGTTGTCTTGACTCGTTGGGTGATCTGGTCTAGAGATGTTCTGGCTGTTAATACTCTCCCGCAAGCTGATGGCTGGTAAGACATTTAGCTTGAACTTTAGTTAAAGAAAACGATGCTTTGGCAGCGGCTTGGTAAGGATGTCGGCTACTTGATCTTTGGTGGAGAGAAAGCCGATTTTGACTTGCTTGGAGTTGGCTTGCTCACGCACGAAGTGGTAGTCAATTTTGATATGCTTCGTACACGCATGGAAGACAGGATTGACAGCCAGGAAAGTAGCTCCAATGTTATTGCACCACAGAAACGGAGTAACCGTGATATGGATGCATAACTCATGAAGTCGAAATTGAATCTCTATTAATTCGGCTGTGACATTAGCTACAGCTATATATTTTGCTTCAGTACTTCAACGAGCGACAATAAGTTGCTTCTGAAAATTCCAAGAAATCAGATTTTTGCCTAAATAAACGAGGTATCCTCTAGTAGATCTTCTATCAATTTCAAATCCAACCTAATCTGCGTCACTAAAAAAAGAAAGCGATATATCCGCAGATTTATGAAAATAAAGGCTATCAAATATTGTTCCCTTGAGGTAACGAAAAAGAGGTTTGACCCGAGCCCAATCATTAATTGAGGGATTATGCATAGATTGGCATGCTCGATTGACAGCAAATGATATATTTGGTCTTGTGATCGTAAGATATTGAGGTGCTCCAACTGCACTTCGATAGATTACAGGATCAATGAGTTCGATTGGTGATAGAATTAGTAGACGAAACAGTACAAGAGTTGGAGAGAGATTTACAATTTTCCATGTTATATTTTTTTAAGGTAGTAGCACTATATTTAGATCGAGAGAGAAAGCAACCTGCTGAAGTGTGTATTAATTCTGTTCCTAAGAAATGGTGTAGGTCCTAAATCACACATAGAAAACACAGAGCTTAGAGAAGTAATAATTGAATTAGTAACTAAATAAAGCTCTTACCTATATTAGATATTACAATGGTTACACCTTGTATGATATATATATGGACCCCTGTAAGCATTTGGGGTGTGAGGAATACATACGAGAGATTCCTTCCTCTCTTCTTTCCTTCTCTTCTGCCTAGACTTCTCTCTACTTCTCATTTCTCTACATGGTATCAGAGATGTTCTGGTCGTTAATAGTGGAGACCTCTTCCTATTTTTCTTTCCTCATGATACAACAATCTCCCATTTGGAAAGAAAAAAACAGCACCACGAATCCCTTTCCTATGCGTAGTCCTGCGCGCGAAGCACCCCCGAATACTAGCTTATATAACGTCGCCCAGTCAGTTCCACGTCGCGCCCTTCCTGTGCGTAGTCCTGCGCCCGCGAACATCTTCGTGCACGTCTCCTGACTGCTGCCGCATCATGCTCCCACGCCACGAGAGACATCAATGAGCTCCCACTGCTTGGGAAACGATCCAGCACGTGCTACCGTACGATGCCTCTGTCCGTGTCCGACGCTGTCCGCGTCTGTGTTGCAGACAATGCCACCAAGGGAATGTAGTCCTCACGATCGACGTGCTGATTTCTGCTTACTGTGTTCTTCTCATTTACTGTGTTTGTTGCAGTGTTCGTAAATGGTGTCGTCTGCAAGAACCCGGCCCATGTCAAGGCCGACGACTTCTTCTCTGGACTCGACAAGCCCGGCGACACGAAGAACGCTCTCGGATCCAAGGTCACCCCCGTCAACGTCAACGACCTCTTCGGGCTTAACACCCTCGGCATCTCGCTCGTCCGCGTAGACTTTGCCCGCCGTGGGCTCAACCCTCCCCACACCCACCCGAGGGCCACGGAGGTGCTCACACTCCTCCAGGGCAAGGCTCTACGTCGTCGGAATCACTTTGTTCTTCCTCATTTCCGTATTCGATTATGGCCACGTTACACACTGTAACTGATTTTTGTTATTCGGTTTGCAGTTTTGACGAAGGATTTCTGAAGATGTTAGAACCGTCGAAAGTTATTCATCTTCGTAATGAGGGGCCTGAGATCTCCGCGGTAGCATTTTATTTTCCATCGTTATTTCTTTTACTCGTTCAACGATTAAAAACGCTATCATATTTTGTTACTCCCTTTTGCGGTGCAGCCCTTCGGCGTTGTTACTAAGCTCGTGATGCTGCGGGCGAAGAATCAGGTTTTCCAGTCCATATTCTGATCCCTGCGGACCTTGAGAGCTCAGATAAAACATGTTTTTCCTGATTTCCCCCTTTTTTCACGATCAGGAATCGCTTAATGAAAAACAAAAAATGATTATGATTTTAGGCCGAGATGCTCGTATTTATATTTTTGCCACTTATAGGGCAGAGAAATAGACCGTATTGAAACGAACGGCCAATGGTCTGTTTTGTTTATGTTTCAGATCCAGGGTAGTACAACAGGTAGATCCCTTTACCCATATGGCCGACCATCCGAGAACTTTTGATTCATGCTGTGTAACGGATCGGTCCGTTATCCTACTTTACACAGATCCCACATTGGGCCTGAACAAAATTCGAAACATATCTGGTTAGCTAGCCTTAAATATAACTTGCATTGGATTTAGTTATCATCTTCAACTGAAATTTTAGCTCACTAACAGATTGAATAAGCTCTTCAGAGTCAAGCTTATTAGTCTGATCTAATAATACTCTTTAAATTCTCGACCGATAATAAAAATATTTATCCTCATTAACCTGAAACAAATCCAGATAAATGGCAGGAATATTCCACTCTACTATGTTGTAAATACTAATCAAATTTAATACCCAAATTACTTTATTCCGTTAGATTATCCTAGACATACTTAGGGGCACATTTGTGCATTTTCGTAATCAGGGAAATATCTACAATATCCTTGATCTGTTATGGTTGTCCTCGACACACGTAAATCATAGCACTTACGATCCAAGAGGGAATTCGCTCTACTACCTCAACTAATGGCCGTGAATTTAAGCTGCATCGCTCGCGTCTGTGGTGGTTGATTACACAAGTTTATGCAGCAGGAAATCAGTAAATATGACCCAATTGCCAACATTTTTCCACCTAAGCACATTTCCCTTCTTCCATTTGTTCATCTAATCTGTGACTATTCCAGGCTGGTCTGTTCTGCAGTGTAACTCACGAAAACTGGATCTTTTGAGTTCACAGTTGTCTTCATTAGGAGATCTCGGTCAACAGAAGACAAAATAGTACAATGCAAGTCATTCATAGGTCACATGACTGAAGAAGTAACGCACTATATTCGTTCTTGTCCGAGACTGATGGAAGAATATGGTGTTGTTATTAGAACTAGTACATTCCTGTACATTTAGTAGTTCGTTGTATGATGGTATATCCTGTATTTCGTGTCGACAGTATCGAATCACACTGAGACGTTCCGTGCAGCAGAAAAAGAAGATTATCCCGACTTTCATTTTATTTGGATATCTCTAAGGAAACAATACACGCTGCATCGTAAACACGGATGACAAATTGTTTAATGTTTAAGTTCGAAAACGCAATATCGTCGGAGTAGAAGTCAAAAGGATCAGAGCGACGTCTAGGATGGGAGGTAACGTGGCCTTGGGTTCACGGACAACGGCAACGGCGGAGTTCGTGCTCATATGCGTACGAGTTAAATGATATACCGTCTCCTCGGAAGAAGAGTTTTAAGAGCACGTCAGCCCAGACGGCACCGCCCTGCCGCAGAAATTCAGCAGCAACGCGACGTCCTCGGGAATCCGCAGATTAAGGCCGAGGAACCTGCTCCTGGCGGCGGCGCAGAGGCACGCTGTGGCTTGTTGGTCGGAGAGTCTAGCGATTAGCCGGCAACAAGCCCCTCTAGGGGTGCGGTTACGAGTTAGACGGAGAGCGGAGAGCACCGGAGCACAGATTCTTAATCCGATGGCATCAAAAAGGCATCTCAGACCAAGGATGGGACGAGGCGGTGGCGGTGGGGGTGATGATGGTGGTGGTGGTGGGGAGGATGGAGGTGAGGTCGGAGATACGACTGGGGAAGTGGACGGAGGAACCACTGGGGGGGTGGAAGGAGGTACGACTGGGGGAGTGGACGGAGGAACCACTGGGGGTGTGGACGGAGGTACCACTGGGGTAGCGGACGGAGGTACAACCGGGGGTAAGGATGACGGCGGCAAGGATGGGGCTACGGGAGTTGAAGGTGGAGATTCGATAGGCGGGCGTAGCAGGTGGAGGTGAGGACGGAGCGACGACCGGAGGGGAGGGGCTGTCAGTTGGTGGAGGAGGAGATAGGGGTCCTTCGGATTGGCAAGAAGCCAAGTTGACGAATAGAAGGTTCACCTTGTTGTCATCTTGGCAGCCATGATGACCTTGTTGTTGGGTGATTCAGAGGCGGTGTTGTGCTGGGCTTTATAGAGAGGGGAAGGGAAGTCCTGAATGCGGTGTGCTGAAGTCCCCCTTTGTGAAGGTTAAACTTGGAATTAAACACTTGGTTTGACACGAATCCTACTGGGAATGGTCGTTTGAAAGAGACTTGTTTCTGATGACCTGTAGTCGCGACATTTATTCACCGTGCACTGTTAATGGGATTGTGACTTGCAACCGAATCCCACTGCAACTAGCATTGGTTTCATCGCCAGCTTGTCTCGGGTCAGCAATTCGTAACGAAGTTTTGAACTTAACGGGTGAAAGTTTGCCTTTAACAGAAGTTTGACAATCCACAAAGAAATCTCAGTCATTTAGCTAGGCGTTGTTTGGCGTCGAACAGTCGTACAATGCAAGGACTTTAACCTGAGATCGCGGTGTGGCAGAAAGTATAATTTAAGATGGAATTTAAACGGTCAATTTGGTGTGCGGGTCTGCATCTGTTGTCCAGATCGAACGTCCGTCTTCTTTCATTCATGAGGTATTCAGATTTGGAGGATTTTCTACGTCTGGCGTCTGGTTGCCGGTTTGAAGGGCAGAAAGCCCCGCCTATTAATTCTTTGGCACTCTGAACCTTGTTGATTTCTGGGCAGGTGGAGACGCTTAGCTATAGACTTGTGAAGAGAACACGATACGCACGATTTTCTACTTCCGTCCGTCATATGTTCAGAGCTGCCAGTTGACAAATTACGGCTACATCGTAATACGTACAAGGCTAAATAGGGATGGAGGTTTCGTCAACTTAACTGCCACATGGCATTTAGTTGTAATTTCTGGTTGGAAGAAAACAGTAGATGCGTTTCCATTTTCTGGTTCGAAATTCCACCGGGACAGATACAACGAAAGCGATGTTGTTACTTCCATTGTGATGCAGGGTGTTGGGCCTGTATCTCCGCACCAGATACACTAAATAGATCAACGATAAACAAGAAGTAGAGTAAAATACAGATATATAAGGTCACACCACGGCATGCGAGAGAGAAAAAAGTTGTAACACAGGAAAAGACCACAAGAGAAAAGAGTTGCCCCCACAGACGGAAGTTTCAAGTTCGTTACAGCGTTGGTCAACTCTGCACATGCCGCGATATCTTAAGAGCTGCACTTTTGCAGTTCTTCAACCTTAACAGTGACTAAAATTTATATATTGTATCTGATGTCAAGGATATGCCGGAATAAATAAGGAAAAGACAGATCCAGTCGACCCTCGGTGATCTGTGAAAGCCAACGTTGACGGTGTACATTAATGTGAATAATTAATTCCATAATTATTCCATAGGTTCATCTCGATTTCCGAAGTTTATTACCATGAAGAAAGTTACCAAATGCCGATAACTGAAATAGTTGTAGTTTAACGATTGTCCGTGTTGTCAAAGACATTTTGTGCTTTTCCTTAAACTTCTGTCTAAAAAGGCGGCTTTGAAATGGGTATGTCATGTACTAATTGTAGAGAGGAAAAAAGCGAGTCGTGACGTTCCCAATGATGGGTTGGAAGTTAACAACTGTGGTTGTTAGAACTCATGAATTGCACTAATCTACCATTGATTTTGAATCTCATCAGTGGTATGGTACCTACCAACCCAATTACATATATTGAATATTTTGCTGCTTATCCACTAGAAAGTGATCCTATGGTGAATATGGTGCATTCAATATTTTTCAAAGAATTCGGCTCAACAAGGGATTTAAGTCTGTGAAATGAATTTTGATACCTTTGTGTGCATTAGAATGTTCATGCAATGCCCTCCCATTATTGTGTTCGTTCTCATATTATTTACACATCTTATGGGACTTCCTATAACTTTCATTAAAATGTTTTCTGTTTGTGATTGTTCTTTTGCTTTCAACAGTTTTCTCTATTGAAATTTGAATCGGTTTCATAGTGTGCTCTTTTATACGTGGTTCAATCCAAATAACTCCGCATTACATCTGCCGATTCTTTATACGAGAACTCTTGGAAAAACACGTTTTGATTGTACCTTATTCCACGGGTAGTATGCTTCTGTTCTGTAAAAACACAATGGTTTGGTTTCCCCTGTAACTTTAATTTTGGCAGATGCCCATCATCGGGCCCCTTAGCTCATCATGGTGACAGTGTTTGGTGAGACTAAGAATCGAGATTAAACTATATCAATGGCAATCGACCTAGAAACGGATATTTATCAGGTGTTCTACTGAAAGGCTTGAAAGATGACAATTTTGCATTCTGCTGGGGGGAGTCGTATTAAAATCGACCATCATGAGTCTGTAGGGGGAGGAATGGAAAATGGATGGTAGGCTGGTGGGTACGGGTGAGACCACTGTGGAAGAATGATTTCCACTTTCAGGAGTCTAGACATGGTAAGATTCCTGACTCCTCTTGAACGTTAATATTAAATGAATAAATAATTTGGTTTGCTTTTGCAGGTGTATAGACGATATCTATTTTTTTTTTAATTTTATTAAGGACAGTAATGCCCCTTGGAAGTGTTTCATTTGGTTCGTTCAAGACATGTTGATAAGTTTTCACGAGCCTCAATTGACGCAGTTGAGTATCCAATATAATGTCCTTGGTTCGGTAGTCAGAAGAATTCACCATGGGTCCCGTTTGAAGGTCCGTTGGGCGGTCTCTTGTCTCCCTGATGACGCTAAAACCAGCTTTTCTGCGTTTCGTACGATGCAGGGCACGTTTCTGGACATTCCGGAGCAGTAATATCCTTCCGGAAATCGGATTTAAGACTGAGCCATGTATGGTAGGATTAGCGTTCGGGGTCAACATCAACCGTCCACCTCTCACATCCGATCTTTGGTCGTCAACGAGGCATAGAAGTGTTTATGATTTTAATGTCCGGCATAAGGTCGTCGTTTTTATGGACACAAAAGCCACCAATTAATCTCTGAAAGTCCGACACCGACAGTAGAAGATTTGCTTTGACTATGAACCGAGACGAAGTGTGTATTGACGTGTGCCGGACGTGTGCAGATTTGTGGGGCAGCTGGATGTTGTAATGGTTTGGTTGTATTTTTATGTGTTCCAAGTTTCACGACGACAAATTATTCACAACTGCAGGGAGACTGAGCCTTTGTTAACTTGAAAACCGGCTCTCATTCACATCTCGTATTTTGTCCTCAGCAACGCTATCTATTCGCAAGGAGAAAACTTGAGATGTCGAGTGGAACGAAAGTTTTTAGCCTGGCTTAGTACGATCGTTTTCTAGATTATTAAAATGTAATAATCGGGGTATCTCCAACATGATGAACTGGATTTTAATTTTGTTATAGACACACTGAAATTTGCACCGTACGTAAACATCTAGGGGACTTTAAGGGGCTCGTACTGTTAGAAGATGTGGAGAACTGATCAAGGCCCAGAACAGCAGCAGGTGTGCGGACCCGGGCTCAAGATGCAGAGAATGCGCGGATCCAATAACAGGATCTGAGAAAGGGGTATATAAAGGGCACGAAAGGGGGTTGACGGTATCGATTTTTGTATTCGATCATTCATCCGTCCGCCCGCGCCGCGCTTGTCTCACCCGACGGCAGAACGTGGAGAGGAGAGGAGAAAGGGGCTCGCGCGTCGATCAACAGAGTGACCGACAGCGGAGCGGCAGACCTTCCTCCTTCCCTGTGTTGCGGCTATAGCTGTGGCGGCGGCTGTTCGGCAGTGCTCGGCTGTCTGTGGCGGTGGTCTGCGGTGACTACGCCGGTATTTGGTCTTGTTGCTCTCTGATGAAATAGTATATTGCTCATGCGACCATGGACATAGGAGGTTTTATCCTAACCACGTAAATCTCTGTTTTCCCCTTTCCCATGTTCCTTTTCTCTCTCGTCTTCTTCCCTCTTCTGCTCTCAGGTGCTTTCTTCTGCTGCGTAAGGAGAGGACGCGGCCGGCACGAAGCCGTCGTCCCCAACGCATACTTCCCAGATAAAAGTTTTGGTAATGCTAGGAATGCGTGTCATGTCTGGAAGGTCTTGAGATACTCCGTCAACTTGTCGAACCTTTGGCGGCTTAGGAACGCATATATCGCGTACCGTCAGGCACAAGTTAGAGAATAGTCGAGACATTTACGACGAGGTCAGGAAGTTGGTAGGTACTGTTGTCGTATCCCTACGCCGTTGGTTCCGTACGTTTAGCATGCTGACGGTTGACCAGATATGCGCGCTGAATATTTTGCCGGTTAACCAACCAGAATGCATATATTCGCCGATTTTGGTGTGTTTAATATTTCGACTCCGACGTCGATACGACTACAACCACGGATTCACCTCAGTTCTGAGACCTTTTGAACCTTTTGACGTCTTAGAATACTTCTGTTATTTCCTCCGTGTATCGCACTCTTTCCCTCGTGATTATGGCGTGAGAATTCAGATCTTCTGAACCGGCGACTCGGACGTTTTCAGCTACGACTTTTTTAAAGGACATCTGACTTAGCCTGCCTGGCGAAGACGTACTTTGGAAGATCGAATGAGATTGTCGCTGTGTCACTGCAGTGCGTTCAAGACTTCGAATACCAGTTTCGAGCCATCTTCCCTGTGTAAATCTAGAGGGAAAGTCATTGCAGTTCTGAGACCCACGTGTCCAAGACTCTTATTTCGCATAGGGTGACATGTCTTCCAAGTATGCAAGGCTGATTTTTTAAAGTCGCAGCGCGTGGAAGACATTATGGGAAACTAGCTCCTGCGATGATTATCTATGAGATTTTGAGAAATGACCCACCATGTTCATTTGAAATCTAATCTGAATTTAAGGAGTAAATTGGATTATTCTCTTCCGCAAATGACATTCTAGGACCTAACTCATGTACTCATGCTGTCAAAAAACTCATGCCGCGAGAACGCAAATTTGACTTGTTCAAGTTTCGACGTTTCTCTAGGAGTTTGGAAAAGTTCCCTTTGCAGTGGCTCCTTGAAGTCACTAGTATTAAGTTCTAACTAGAAGGTGTCCGTTGAGTGTATTGTGGGAGATTTCACGGCTGTTAGTGGAAGACTAGTTCAGGGGACTGGTGGGAAGATTAGTGACAGGGCAGTTCTGATAAACCCAAGCACTAGGATTATCACATGGTCAGTCCCGCGGTAGGGCGAAACTCCTTGTCCAATGACAGTTCGCAAGGCATTCCAAGTGGATTTGGAAGGAATCGGCATCACCGAATGGCACTTCTGGATTAACAATAGTTGCCATAATGATGGGTTTGGCTACCTCGAAAAGGGAAAATAGTCACTCTACAGTACATGGGAAAAGCACTGTTTATTCAGATGTACATACGAGAAGAACACTTCCCAAAACGACAGAGCCAATTTACAAGGTAGCCCTTCAAGAAGCTAAATGGAGGATTCCACAAGTCGTGTTCCTGACAAGTCCGTAACAGCAATAAGCTCATTGTAGACTTTTTCAGCAGTACATATGGGAACTCAGGCGCTGACTGCGATATCCGGATATTACGGCTGTGATTTATACTTTCGATGATAAGTGGAGTCCTCTTGATGACACTGGCATTGCAAAAAGTGCATTAATTGCTTCCTTTCCGTTCTGTGTTTTCCCAAAAGTATGTGTTGCAATGTATAGAATGAACGGTTTTAGGTGTATGCTAGAGAACGCATATATACAATGTCTCATCTGGACAAATGGGTTTAGCTGCAAGAGCATGACATCTCTAGAGGTTTCAATCTGTTCATTAATTATGGGTATGCTGACGAAGCCTTTCCTTTCTTGCACAATTTCTTTTCCATCTTATGTTTAAAAGTATTATTATTTCTATTATTCATATGGTGAAATATTTAACTGCCCATTCGATAGGTACACTAGACTTCTTCACTAGCCAAACTGCTAGTCCGCATTGTCTTTGCTATTCCTGTGCTATCTTAAGTAATTGATCATTTGATATATGAAAATAGTTTGATAAAGGCGTTCTGCCAGGATTCGTAACCTCCATGTTCAATGTGCAGAACACGTTTTCAACATAGGTTTTTTGCATGGTCTCAAGAAACCAATAACTTTGTAATAATTGATTCTCATCTTGAGAATATTCTTTGCTACCTCCGAGTCCATATTAAATATCTTTTCGCCTCCAAGTCCTCCAGCCCTCTCCATTGAACAGTGAGTCAGCACTTAAATCGAAAGGTGAGGCTGGTCCAAACAGGCTAAATTCGACAGTCCCACTGTCCTATGAATAATCATAAATGGCTCTAAGTCCCACCAGATAATTACAAATAAATCGGGGGTAATGACAAATTACTCAAACAGGATACATGATGAAACAAAAGACTTAGAATCTAGAAATGATCAAAAAGTGAAGCCGAAATAATGCGACCTAGCTGTTTTAATCTTATATAGAATGTTACGAAGATAATGCCACTTTGAGATTATGCCAACCTTTTCTAAAGTCTGTTGTCCCGAGATATGAAACTGTTGACACCGTTAAATGTCTTTTAACCATCTATTAGATATGGCCTGTATGGTCTGGGACCGAATTTCTTCGAGCAATGAAAGAGTCAGGGAAAAGATTAAAACTGAACAAATGAACTTGCGATTCTCGTCATCATACATGGATGAGTCCGTTGAAGGCCTTTTCTTCCGCTCCTAAGAAAGGTTCTGGAGATGTCTCCAGAACCTATTTCTATAGCTTTGTAGATTATACTCAATATTTTGCTACATATTTTGAGGAATTAAAAATACCTTTTACAGTTTTCTTAGTATGAACAGAAATAAAGATAGTGGTAACTTTCTGCGTTGCGTTTGACTGAATCTGTTAGATGTCTTTAGTTGCATCTTATATATGGGAGCCGCAAAATTACATAAACTTGCCATTCTTTCTAATTGCTACCATTTGCTAAATTGAAAGTTGAAAAAAATTAGATTATCTACTATTTTAGTTTCATGATCCTTATGATAATCTTATGCGTAATCTGTAACTTTACACTTTCTTTCGGAAAGCCAAACGTTAGAACCCCAGATAAGAGAGGACAGAGTTCTTAGACTATCAATAATTGTTAACGTAGACCCAGCAATTGGCAAAGTTCTTATGCGTGCGCTGGATCGTACTTAATGTTGAGTTGTTTCAGGTGAAGTATCCTTTCACTTAATATAGACAAAGTTCTCAGGTGAAGAATCCTTTCACTTAATGTTGAGTTGTTTGAGCTGAACACCACGTAAAATAGACCACACTATGAGGCCAATTCAAATTTCAAATGAATAGAATGTCGAAACCAAAACAAATGTAAAAAAAGAAAACCCTTTTGAATGAAATTTATGGCTACTCTCATCAGATGCCTAAATCATATGAGAAAGAACACAATAATGGGAGGACATCGTATGAACAAGTTAAAACACAAAAGGATATCGAAATTCTTATCACAGAGCTAAATCCCCAGTTGAGCCAAATTCTCGGAAAAATATTGAATGCAGCATAGTTACCATAGGATCCATTGCCAGTGGATAAGCAGCAAAAGAGTCAACGTTGAAAATTGGGTTGGTAGGTACCATACCACTGGCATTATACAAATAAAGTGTGTAGCCTGAACCGTGAGTTCTAGCCAACACTGTTATGAACTTCCAACCCATCATTGTGAATGTCACGACTGGCTTTTTACCTCTCTACTAGTAATACACACATACCTTTAAAGCCACCCCATTAAGCAGAAGTTTAAGGCAAAGTACAAGATGTCTTTGACAACACAGACAAACGTACAGTCACAACTATTTAAATAAAAAACGTTTGGAAACTTTCCTCATCCTAATATAGTTCGGAAATGGAGATGAGCCTGTTCTATAATTATGCATTAAATTCTTGATATTAATCTATGAAGTCAACATTTGCCTTACAGAGATCACCAAGGGTGGACTGGGTTGGCCTTTTCCTTATTTATTCGATCATATCCTTGTAACTCGATAGAGTGTATAAACTCTGATCACTAATAAGGGTGAACACCTTGAAAATGCAGCTATTAAGGCATCATTGCATGCCCTGATGAAAGAGATTAACCTACAGTGTAATGAGCTTGCAGCTTACATCTGTGGGGCACCCTCCTCTCGTGTGGTCTTTTCCTGTGTTGCATTTTTTTTTTCTTTCTCACATGCTGTGGTGTGATCTTTTCTTCCGTATTTTATCCCGCTTCTCGTTTATCGTTTATGCATTTAATGTATAAATGTCCAAGTGGTATCAACGTCCTGCATCACAATGGAAGTAACACCAGCATTTTCGTTGTATTTGTACTCGTCGAATTTTCCAACCAGAAAATGGAAGCACATATATGGCCTTTTTCCAACCAGAAATTGTGACTTACTGAGATGTGGCAGCTAAGTTGGCTAACTCTCCATCCCCATCCTCTATGTTGCCCTATACTTATTGCGATAGCCTTAATTTATGAACTTACAGCTTTGAACGCATGACGGCAGAACGAAATCATGCGTATCATGTTGGCCCCACAAGTCTATAACTAAGCGTCTCCATCAGCACATATCGTTCAAGTTCGGAGTGCCGAAGAATTAATAGGCGGGCTTTTCAGCCGTTTAAGCGGCAAACACACGCCAGACGTTGAAAATCTGTCAAATCTCAGTACCTCGTCAATGAAAGAGGACGTTCTTGCTGGAAAATAGATGTAGGCCCGGCACATCAAATTGAGCATTTAACGTTCGCCTTAAATTAGTCTTCTTCGCCAACCGCAGTGTGTCAAGCGAATGTCCGTACGATGTAGGAGTGTTGGACACCAAACATCGCCCCGCCGAATGGCTCAATTATTCCATCGTTGATTCCCAAACTACTGGTTAAGGCCAACCTTAGCCCGTTAATTTTCTGAACTTCATGACAAAGTCTCTCTGATGGTCTTAATTGTTGACCCCGCATAAGCTTACGATGAAACCAATGCTGATTGTAGTGGGGGGGCCCTCTGTTCGGTTCGGTTGCAAGTCATAATCCTACTAACAGCGCACGCCGAATAAATATGGCAACTACAGGCCAGTAGATACAACGCTCTTCCATACGACCATCTCATGTAACGATCGTGCCAAACCAAGTGTTTAATTGAATTGCAAGTTCAACATTCACGAAGGCGGAATGTTGAAATAAAGATAGTGGTAACTTTCTGCGTTGCGTTTGACTGAATCTGTTAGATGTCTTTAGTTGCATCTTATATATGGGAGCCGCAAAATTACATAAACTTGCCATTCTTTCTAATTGCTACCATTTGCTAAATTGAAAGTTGAAAAAAATTAGATTATCTACTATTTTAGTTTCATGATCCTTATGATAATCTTATGCGTAATCTGTAATTTTACACTTTCTTTCGGAAAGCCAAACGTTAGAACCCCAGATAAGAGAGGACAGAGTTCTTAGACTATCAATAATTGTCAACGTTGACATGGCTTTGTTATGTCCATATTTTTCTTGTCCGTGCAGATCCTCTTTTTCCCATCCCTAGGCTCAAGTTCCCAAATCTATTATACCTTCAAATCCAATCGCAATTTGTTGAGGCAGCGATGACGATGCCTCACGAATAAGCCTTCAGATTTGTTCATGCTGAGACCCATGTTGACCCTATTCAAGATGCATTCATGTTCTGATAGAAGCAGAGTACGTAATAATCACCAAGTATGAATGTACCAAAAGGACCATGAAGAAATATACGGCTAAGACATAATACAGACATAAATTTAGAGAAGATGATAGAGCGCAGTTTAAGTGACTTGAATAAATCCTTCACCGTCCATGGATAGAGCTGAAGAGAACTTTTTACAGAATACAAAAAGAGAACCTTACAAGACGGTTGGATCTGTTTATCTCGTCTTCCTGGTCTCTATGATGTGCTCTGGACATACCTTCTAATCCTAAATGAGGCGCATCCACTCTAAATATACGAAGATCTAACTCCCAACTTCTCAATAAGCCAAATGCGAAAGAGAATGCAAAAAGAAAAAAATGGAATGACACACGCCACTCCACTTTAAATAGAGGATGAGAGGGAGGAACGGATATGAGCACTTATGTTTCTATAAATAAGGAATGGCCTGACTAGTCTGACAATTTAAAAAACTTATCGATATTGGGCTTGTTAAGACAATGATTAATAAGATCCTCGATTAAGCTGCTCGGCTCATCACCACCTATCATACTCTGGACCAACGTAGAGTAGATGATTATGGGAGCTTCAGCACTGAGAACCTTTAGATATAGGTTGGGAAATAGGCAGATTGAGGTAGGAGAAAATAATGCTAACAACATTAAGCATTGACCAATGCCTCAGTGTTGCTCTGGCGTACAAATATGTTCTTGTCTGAATCACATGATTACTAGCCAAGCCTCCTTGGGAAGGAATATAATCAAAGCAACATTTAGATAGTGAATAATGCAAAATGCTGGTCGGGTAGCTTGTTTTTTAAAGAAAACACTCAAGAATTGTTTTTAATCATATATACATCTCTGTTCACTTAAATTTAGAGCGAAATATATGATGGATAAGACTATCCACATCTGATCTATGAGTAGTACTACTTATTAGAGAGTTAAGTGCATATTATTAGGGAGTTTATATTATGTGAGTTACGAGGCAACAAAGTGACATTGTACGGGATCCTGCAGGACTATAAACCTAACTGATGCCTCGAATCAAACTTAGAAAAAATACAAGAACGATCAAACTGGGAAAGTAACATGACCAATTGGTAACTTGGTAATGTAAACATTATTCCACGATTTTTCCATGCTGGTATGTGAATTCGGCATCACTTCAGAGAGAGATACATAAATAGAGGCTGAGCTCTACAAAAAGCACGAGGGGAATGCAGGCGGCCAGCGCACCTGAGCCCTACAAGGGACTTGACGTCAATGCTCCCAGGACACTACACACACAGATGTGCTAATTTTCCTTTTTTGGAGGGTCATTCTTTCCTTAAGGCGAGATATTAAAATTCTAGCTTTGATTAGGGTATACACAACTAGTAAAGCACACCGGTCAAAAATTGAGATGCGCATGTGCAGAGTGGAAGTAGAGTCTGGAGGAAACCGAACTTGGATATCTCTAAAATGATAAATCTTATTAGATGTGTACTAAAAAATGACAGTTATTAAAATGAATGAAGCCGTTAATAAACTGATAAAGCATAACATAATTTGGCCTAATGGTTGACATATAAAAAGCCAATTTGAGCCTTTCTCTATTGGCCTCTATGTGGCGGTATGATACATAGAAGGGCGGGGGGGGGGGCGGGGGGGGCGGGGGGAGAATTACCTATAGCTTTTTTATTGCCTATATTGAATCTTTATACAATTATATCCCAAGAAAAATCCAAAAGAAAGATCATACCTCAAAGGAATTTGTTTTGGATTTCACAGCTCTAGTTTACTTGAGATCCCTCAAAGTTTCTTCAAATTATAGGGCTCTAGTTTGTCCAAAACAGAGAAATAGTACTTCCCACTTCTCTCTGCTTAGACTTCAGGCTCTAAACTAACCAGATTTCTCCAAATTGAATATAAATCTGAGGGAGAAAATTGACCAATTCTTGATGATTCTTCGCATGCTCGATCTTCTCCTTGTTTGGATTAGTTAAATGGAAGCATTGATCAAGTTGATGCTAGCTTGAGCTTTTGATGACAAATTTGATCAATTTGATATTGGTTGATCTGAGGAGGACATTCTAGTGCTCTTTAATTAGGCCTTGATTTTGAGATGGATACAAGAAAATCAATTTGAGGTATGTTGTAGGTGAAGAAAAAATAACACTCAGTTTCATGATGGGTCGACCTAGAGATGGAAAGATGACGATTGATTTGAGGCCGGGACAATGAAGATGAAATATCGTTCGCTTTGATGGATGCTTGATCTTGATCCGAAGACGAAGTCGAGCATGGTCATTTTATCCAGACTCGAACTGAATGGAGATGTCTTGACGATTCGATACATGCTCGACTAGTTTCATTCTAGGAGTCTGATCAGAAGCCGGAGGCCAATAGTCTCTTGATGCTGCAGAGTGCAGGAGATAGGGCATTGAGCTTTCTTCTATGCTTGAAAGTCCGCACCAATTTCTTGTGTTAACTTTTTCTTACTCCCGCTTTTCTTCATTTCCCCCTTTTTTCACGATCAGCGATCGCTCAATAAAAACCATCAGGATTAGCATTTTAGACCGAGATGCTGGTATTTATATTTTCGCCTGTACGGGGCAGAGAAAGGACCGTATATGAAACGGACGGCCAATGCTCTATTTATCTTTCGGATCCAAGGCGGTACAGCAGACAAATTCGTTTGCCCATATGGCCGACCATCTGTGAACTTTAGATTCATGCATTGTCACGGACCAGTGTTTCGAATTTTGTTCAGATCCAATAATGTTAGCAAATTCAACTTAAATTTCATTTAAATAACAGATCGAACCCCATTAGTTTGATTTAATACTCCTTAAATTCATGCCCAGTAATTAAAAAATTCTCTTCGTTTAACGAGAAATAAATATACATAAATTACAAGAATATTCCACACGATTATCTTGTAAGTAGTAAACAAATGTAAACACACAAATGACCTCATTCAATTATATTCTATTAGAAATACTTAAGATCTCATGTATACATTTTTCATTCTAAGGAAAATACCTAAAATATCCTTCATCACTTATGGTTATCATCAAAACACGTAAATCATCACATTTACCGTCCAAGAAGGAATTCACTGTACTACCTATACTAACGGTGATGAAGTTAAGCAGCATCTCGTCTGTTGTCGTGGATTACATTATGCCGTTAAAGATGAGTAAATGACCTCATTGCAAACATTTTTCTATATGATCATATATCTGCATGTCAAGTAAAAGTTGTTACCATTCTGGACTAGTATGCCCAGCAGTTTAACTCGGGAAAATTAGATCTTTTCAGTTAACATTTGTGTTTCACAAGGGGATCTCAGTCATCAAAACACAAAATAATACAATCAAAGTCATTCATAGGTCTCAGTGGAGAAGTGTAGACATTCTTGTCCAAGATAAATAGAACACTATGGTGTTGTATTTAGTATTATGATTACCTGGTTCATTAGATGTAGGATGGTATGTCTTGTCCAACATGTGAATTATTACCGAATCACACTGAGACCTTATTTGCACAGCAGGAAAGGAAAGATCTTCCGCGGTTTAATTTTATAAGGATATCTCTAAAGAAACAATACTCTCATCATTGTCAGCACTGATGAAAAATTGTTTACTCTGGAAGTTCGGAAATATAATATCGTAGGAGTACAAACCACAGGGATCACAGCAACGTCAAGGACGGGAGATAATTCCTATGGGTACCAATTACAAGATAGACCACCTTCTCAGGAGTAAAGTTTTAAGCGCACGACAACCCAGCAGGCACCGGCCTCCCGCAGAAGTTCAGCAGCAACGCGACGTCCTCGGGAATCCGCAGATTAAGGCCGAGGAACCTGTTCCTGGCGGCGAGGCAGAGGCACACTGGGGCCTGTTGGTTGGAGAGTCTAGCGATGAGGTTGCAGCAAGCTCCTCTGGGGGGACGCCTACCGCTTACCCGGAGAGCGGAGAGCACCGGAGCACAGATTCTTAACCCGATGGCATCGATAAGGCATCTCAGACCTACGATGGGACGAGGTGGCGGCGGCGGTGGGGGCGGTGGTGGTGGTGGCGGGGAGGATGGAGGTGGGGACGGAGGAACAATTGGGGGCGGGGATGGAGGAATGACTGGGGGAGTGGACGGGGGAACCACGGGGGGAGTAGAGGGAGGAACCACAGGGGGAGTAGACGGAGGAACCACTGGGGGAGTAGACGGAGGAACCACTGGGGGAGTAGACGGAGGTACGACTGGTGGACTGGACGGAGGAACCACCGGGGGAGCGGACGGAGGTACGACTGGTGGACTGGACGGAGGAACCACTGGGGGAGCGGACGGAGGAACCACTGGGGGGGCGGACGGAGGTGATACCTGGGGGGGCTGAGGTTCTGTTATTACGATTTGGGAAAAAACCGTGGTGACGAATAGAAGGTTCACAAGAGAGAAAACTGCTGTCGTGGCTGTCGTCTTTGCAGCCATGACGAGCTTGATGTTGGGTGATTCAGAAGCAGTGTTGGACTAGGCTTTTATAGAGAGGGGAAGGAAGCCTTGATTGCGTGCTGCTGAAGGAAGCCTTTGCGAAGGTTGAACCTGGAATAAAACACTTGGTTTGACCTGAATCCCACTGGGGATGGTCGTACGAAAGAGCATTGTACCGGATGGCCAGCCGTTGTATTCACCGTGTACTGTTAATGGGATTGAGACTTGCAACCGAATACCACTACAATTAATTAGTATAGGTCTCATCGGCAGCTTATCTCGGATCAGCAATTAAGACTGCCTGCGGAAATTAACAATGAAGTGTTTAAAATTAGCGGATGAAAGTTGACCTGATATTCATTTAGCTAAGCATTATTTAGTGCTCAACACTGGTACAATGCACGGACTTTTAGCTGAGATTGCGGTGTGGCAAAAAGTCTAATTTCACACGGAATTTAACTGGTCAATTTTGTGTCCCAGGTCTACATCTGTTGACCAGCTCGAACGTCCTATTTCATTAATGAGGTGTTAAGATTTGGAAGATTTTCAACTTCTGGCGTGAGGTTGCGGCTTTAAAAGTCGGAATAACTGGCCTATTCATTCCTCGGCACCCTGAACCGGGGCGATTTCTCTGCTACTGCAGACGCTTTAAAGGGCTGTAAGTCGACAGATTATGGCGACATCGCAATAAGAATAAGGCCGCATAGAGGATGGGGATGGAGGTTTAGTCAACTTAGCTGCCATATGCTAATTAGTAGCAATTTCTGGTTGGAGGAAAAGCAATACATGCGCTGCCCATTTCTGGTTCGAACACTTCGTTACACCCTAGGTCCGCCTCTTCCAACTCCGCATACTACGACGACTTAACAGCTGCATTTTCTTAACCTGTTTAACCTTAATCGAGATTGGAATTTATATACTCTATCCATAAACAAGGATACGCCGGAATAAATAAGGAATAGACAGACAGAGTCGACCCATGGAGATCTCTGTGAAAGCCAAAGCTTATTCTTTATATTACTATGAAGATATAAATTCTTAATTGTGGAACAGGATCTTCTCGATTTCCAAAGTATCTTACCATCAAGAAAGTTGCCATAAGTTCATTGTTTTCAGACAAATAATGTCGTTTTTCTAAAATTATGTATTATGTGTTAGGCATTGTGGAGCATGCGTTGACCCTCTTTTGAATCATGTTGGTTTGAAAGGCGTATATCAACATTGTGGAGCACTAGTGTTAAAGTGGTTAAGAGCTCGTCGTGAAGTTCACAGTGATGGATGGATGCGAAGTTAGCAACAGTGGTGTTCAGAACTCAAGATTTAAGCCAATGCGCCATTCATTTTGAACGTTATCTGTGGTAAAGTACCAAGGGAGCCAATTATCAGTATCGAATCTTTCGCTGGTTATCAACAAGAAATTGATCCTACCATGGCATTGCCGCATTCAATATTTTTACAAGAATATGCCTCGATGAGGTATCTACCTCCGTGAAGAGCAGTAAGGGCAGGGCATGCTGCTTACGCTGCGTCTCCCTGCTTACGCTGAAACCAGTTTTCCTGCCGTGCGTAAGGCGCAGGGCACGCTGCTTGAGATTTCGCAAGAGTAATATCTATCCAGGAATCGGGTTTTGGGACGGATTGATGTAAGGTCAGATTGGCGTTGTGGGTCAACATCTACTGTCAACTACTCACAACCGAGTTCGTCGACGAGATGTGAAAGCTGTGGAGAGTTTAATGTCCGGCATTAGGACGGCTTCAAAGCGCATAAAAGTAAATTTACTTTGTCCGCACTGGGATTAGAAGATTGGCTTTGACTATGAACCAGCAAGATTTGTCCATTAACGGAACTGCACGGATACAGATTTGTGGGGCCTCCTGGATGTCATAATGATTTGCTTGCATCTTGGTCTTTTTCATGTTGTAAACCGACAAATTAAGGCTACTTTCCAACCGTAGGGAGACGGAGACTTTGTCAACTTTGAGACCATATCGCATCAGGATCTATTATCCTGTCCGGAGGAAGCTATCTAGTCGCAGAGAGAAAACCTGACGTCGGGTCGAACGAAACTTTTATGTGGCCTGACTTTGTTTGACAGTTTGCGTGGAAAATGAAAATAAGCGTCCGGGTATTACCGATATGTCGAATGAATTTTTAGTTTTGCTATAGACACAATGAGATTTCGATCTAAGGGACTACAAAAGGCTCATATTTCCGAGATAAAGGCTTTCGTGACCCTGTGACCGTGTCTCATTCCTGGAAGATCTTGAGATATCCCGTCAACTTTTCTTGCCAAGTGCCTTAGGAACAAACGTCCCGTCGACGGACAGGTTAGAGAATAGAGTCAGACGTTTACGACGAGATTAGGATTTTGGCAGTAGGGATTGTAACGTCCCTAGGTTGCCATTCATACGCCATTGGTTCGTAAGTTATGTATGCTGACGGTCGCCTAAATATCTGTGCTGAATATTTTGCCGGTTGCCCAACTCGAAACTCATTTGTTCAACGACTTCACTACGTTAAATGTTTTAACGTGAATATGACTATAACCATGGGTTTACCTCTGTTGTGCGATGTTGGGGAAAGAGGCTTGAATATGATGGGTCAGTATTGTCCCAGAAGAATGAACAGAAGATATATGATGTCCACCAAAGAATAAGTGATCTTGTGGATGAAGAAATGGCGAAAAAGACCACGCTGGACTTATGTGGCACTGGAGGGAATGAACGCAGACTAAGACTCTCCCTCTCCAAGAATTACATGTTTCATGCAGGGATGTAGAAGATTGCACATTATTACCGGGAAGACTAGTTAATAAGGTTGCTTGGAAAATTACTGGCATGCAAGTTTTGAGAAACCTAAACACTAGGATTACCAGTGTTAGGTGCAGGGAATAGAAGATTCGACCTTAAATCCACATGGTGAGGATTTTAAACTAAGAAATCAGATTCGGAATCCACGAAACGTTGGAACTTTTATCCTGGAATCATCAAGAACTTGTGGGGGCGACCATTGAGACCACAAGAATCAAAATTCTCTTCAGTTCACAAACAAGGCACTTGAATTAGTAAGTAGAGAGAGTAGAACCTCAGAGGGAAAAACTCACATTAACTGAAATTATTTAAGTTAGTGGTGGCATTTATACAGGCCATAAATCAGCTAGGACGCCCCCAAAAGTAAGGTCAATTTACGAAACAAGTTCAAAATGCCTTCAAAACAGAAAGTTACTAAAATTGAGACTCCTATATATTATTCATGCACTTTATCCTGGGCATAATTCCAAACACCTTTAGAACAAGAAAATTACTAAAGACCAAGACTCTCACATGTTATTCACATATTTCTTTTAGGAAGTAAATTGAATATAGCTATGACTTAAGATAATTGCTGAAAGCTGACTCTGACGCGTTATTCACATAGTTTTTGGACCGAATTTATTTGGGCTATTTCTCGGGTCTTCTCGTCTTTCTAGTTCACTTTTACGTTTCCAAAGTGGCTGAACCATTAGGTTTGGGCTACTCTTGCTGTTGTTCTACATCACATAGTGGCCAGTCCAATGTAGAGTCAAATTACTTGTGAAAGGACATTTCAGAAGGCATTCAGAGAAGATTGGCAAGCAATTGCACATGACCGAATGACAGTTCTGGATTAATAAAAGCTACAATATTGATGGGATTAGTTGGCTACATCCAAAAGCGTCAATATTGAACGTATTTGCCGCCATCTTGGCGATTCGCACAGAAACAGCAGTTCATTTTGTCAGCCTTGGATATGCAATGCAATTCAAAACGCAAAGATAAAACTTTTCGACTGTACATAAAAATGCAATCAAGGGCCCTAAGAAAAATCATGGAGCGTGAGATCGCCAATCTAACATCCCAGATAAAAAGGGAGCGAAGCCAAGACTTATTTTTCAAGTTGAAACAAGCACAACTAATGTAGTCATCTTACTGCACAAGTGAAGAAGACTATTATTGAGACGCACCTACGAGAATAATACTTCCCAAAATAGAGAGCCAGTTTCCAATGACGGCCTCTGAAGAGACAGGGCGAGGGATTCCACCGGTAGTGAGCCTGAATAATCTGTAACACCAAAGAACTCATCGTTTTCTTTTTAACCAAAAGACGCGAGAACCTAGGCGTTGGGTGCAATATTCAAATATTACCACTGTGATTTACGGCTTTCGATATTAAACTGAGATATGGTGACGACGTAGGCATTGCAAAAAGTGCGATAATTACTTCCTTTTCATTAGGAGTTTTCCAAACATGAAATACCAAAATGGCAAAATGCAAGATATTACGTGTATAACAGAGAACGCGTCGATACTTTCTAAACTGGTCAGAGATCACCTGCAAGTACAGTGACGGCTCTAAACGTTTCAATTTGTTTATCGACGACAGTCGTGATTACAGTGCCTTTCTTTTGTTACGCATTTTCTTCGATATTATACATTGAAAAATATAACATGAAATTATTATTTTAATTATTCACATGATCAAATATTTGACGGCCTTTTCTATAGGTCGAGTGGTTCTTGAAATTTGCCAAAATGTCAATCCAGTATCTCTTCATCATATAATGTACAGGGTTAAGTCGTCTTTCACAACTAGTCTTCCATTTCGTCCGGTATAAAGGGCATGAAAAATGCTGTCATTGGAAAACACCAGAACCAGTAACAAGTTTGTACGTATACACAGTTGGGTCCTCCACAACATAGTCACCGCAAGTACTGTTCCAACCCGAGAACACTTTAGCTCTAAATTTTTTATAAGATCCGGTGACAACACACCCACTAAGCGGGGTTGATTAGTCACCAAGATTATTTTCAAAAACGAAAACCATAGGCCATCTCACTTTCCCACATTTATCATAGATTTTACTTATCACTACGTTCCAAGAGCTAACTTGCCTGTTTATTAAATCATGCATGAGCATAAAAAGAGAACTTCATCAGCAGAAAAAGTACTAGAGACAAATAAGTTGAAAAACAACTCACATGGACGATTCATTTTCAGAAGTAATTGGGAGCTAGCATAATTATGTTTTCTCGAATGATCTTCCAATCACTAATGCATCTGCTTAAAGTTTCTCATTGAAATGCTTTCTTGTCATATTCTCTATTGAGCTTTAATTTTCAGTGTTTTAAGCAAATTTCTAGCGTGAAATGAGCGTTCATTCCTGTGGTATGAGTGTAGTAACATGGACGGAAAGATAATGAACAGACTTGTTAATGGAAGAAAATATTATTGTGAGAAAACCCTTGGGAGAATTGAACAAAATTAAGCGTAGGAATACAAACTATCTTTAACTGCATGAAAAATCTTACAGCTCAAATCAGTTTAGGAAAGGTAATTAAGCTAAACATTCATTAGTAGAGGCTTGTACGGGGCAACTCACCAAAATCTTGGTGAAGAATACAGCTTAGAGTCAACATCACCATTTCATCAATCACATATTTTCAAAAATAAGAACCATAAGATTCAAAGTAGTTAGGTCGCCTTAGTTTGGCCTCACTTTTTGGTCATTTCTAGATTTTATCACGTTTTCTTTTATGCTACAAGCTGTGCCCGCGAATCGGGATGCGGTCCTCCGCAGTAATCTGACAAGACGTTACCGTCGGAGCGCTTTTTTGTGTTTCTAGAACGACGGTTGCCTTTGACGGAGCGGACGTGGGTAATAATATCCGTTTCTAGCTGCGGAGGTGACTAGACCTAATGAATAGTTATTTTCCCCCTCGTTTTTTTCCTTTTCTCGAGAAGGCGTCTTGGAAATCGATTTAAACCGGAATCGGATTTCTCGCAAATCTAACTCTACGCATAGCTGAGGTTGCTTTTCTTTCTAGTTCCTCCGTCCTCAGGGGCCCACAAGAGCGACAATACGTGGGAAGAGATGATAATGGTCACGCGCTGGGAAATCTTCGTCACGTGATGTCATCCAAGGCATTCGGGTAATCACACAACATGGATCATGGGCCGATATAATGGGCCTCGGGCTGAATTCATCTGGGAATAGTAGGCCTGCAAGCCCTCTGCCTCCACTTAGCGAGAGAAAGAGAGAAAGAGAGAGAGGGTGGACTGATGGGGTATTAACGGACTGGTTAACGACTGGGTCTAAAATTTTATGGGCTTTTGGGGACCGATTCTGTAGTAAGCAAGTGGGCCGGACTTTGCGGACGCAGCAGGCCCAGAAATACTGCAGCTTCCGAATGTGACTTGTACTGGGCTACCGGGGAACCGGCTCAATAACCTCCCCTAGATGGCCGGCCCAGAAACTGGGCCTATCCACGGCTCAACGACTGGGTGCGCCTTGTAGAGAGTCTCCTTAGCACCTCCATTTCTCGAAGAGAGAAATAATTATGAAGATATTCTTCCCAGTACTGGACGTTGACTCAAGGCAGGACTTAAAAGCCATTTATAAGTACTCATAGGCCAGTAGAAGTGCCAAATTTAGCCTCATCTTTCAATTTAAGTGATCACTGACTGGTCGATGGATCAGGCTGCTTTTTCGGCCTTTTTTGAGGTTAGCTGCTAATTTAGCATTGCAGTAGTGATAAAAATTAAGTTTAATTGCCAAAGCTAATCGATGGTGAATTGCAAAAAATATCGCATTTATTTCTTGTGTAGGAAGAACACTGCTTACTGAGATTGGAGTAGCATCACATAGGTCGAGGGGATGGGGCATTTTAGAATCACATAGTGAGCTTCCTATTAGATAGCCCACTAATTTCTCTTGGTATCTTCGAGCAAGATGATTTATGCCACTACAGCAGAGAAAGGAGCTACCATCTCCATAATTGTTCTGAATAACAAGCGGATTAGTTTTGTGACCTAGCAGTTCCTCTTCGTTTCTCGCTGGCTAAGTTGAAGATTGCATAGAGACCAAGGGTGTTACACCAAGTCTGTAGCGGTGGTGGCAAGTCAAAAGATGGCCCGCCGTATCCCACATGGATATCAATATGAACCAAGAGACTTCCCTGGTCACAGCCGGATACACCCCACAGGGTTCCCTATCTCCTATGGTTAGTCAACCAAATACTGGCATCACACGAGGTGAAACCCTAGTCCGTCGGCCCACCTCCAAGAGTGAAGACAATTACGATGCGATCAGAATGTCAACCTGCCGACTGCCTCCACACGCACTCACGATTGTGTTGACTTCGTTGTTTCTTCTTGGGATGAAACCTCACATTGCATTGTTCAATGCAGTGACATCAGCACCTAAGACAAACTACTCGAGATGTCAGATTCCCTCCTCTTCTTCTCAGATAATTTGTTTGTCATTTCGGTTCACCCATTACTTTGTGGTTGCCGTTCACTTCAGACCGAAGGGGTGTTGGAGACAATCGTGGAGATAAATCCCTCCATCAAGATCCTATTGTCTACCGTTTCTGCTAAATAGTTGTGTTTTCCTTTCTTCTATTTCTTTAATTTGCTTAGATGTAATCTACGCCATTGGTTGATCCTATTATAATGGCACAGATGATGCCGAGTAGGATAACATTTAGTCACGGCCCTTTAGGTTCTTATTACTATAGCTGTAATTACAGCTGTTTGATGTACACTTATAAGAGATGGGTGTGTCTCAATATCATTGATCTACACTTTTTGAATTATTTCTCTTCAATAAGATTCTTTCTCAAGAGTTTTCTCATCCTTCTCGTGTTTCTTGCTTTGAATCTGAGTGATTCGGATTCAACATTTGGTATCAGAGTGTGAAGTTTTGTTCCTAGGATCGACAAGGAGATGCCAAAGTGAGGAGAGAGTTCTACTCAAGAACTTGTTGTTGCGGGAATTCTTCCCAGGTTGGTACATTCCTTGTCCTCAATCAGAAAAACTACCAAGTATGGGCATCAAGGATGTGTCTTCATCTCGATGGCCTGAAACTTTGGCAGATTGTCGAAGCCAAGAATGCACCAAGAAAGAAGGATCGTCAAGTGATGCCGATCATGTTCAGCACGATTTTAGATGAGATCATGTGGGAACTTGATGTGGAGAAGACAGCCAAGCAAACTTGGGATTTCTTGAAGACCAAGAATGGTGGCAAGTCTCCTCTCTGCAAGGCAAGAATTCAATCACTAAAAAGAGATTTTTAGTTTCTTTCCATAAAATGGACTAGGATAAATTAGTCTTGGAGTATTTCAGCAAGCTCTCCAAAGTGGTGGTTGAAATGAGCTTAAGAGAAAAAATCCGAACGCTGAGATTGCCTCCAAGCTTCTTAGATCTGTCTCAAGTAAGTTTGATGCCATAACCTCTTCGATTGAGCAATTTCAAGTTTTTGATTCACTTACCCTAGATGAGGTGATTGGATCTTTAAAGATTAATGAGGATAAGTTGAAGGATCGATCAGCTAAGACAGAAGAAAATGCTCTCTTAACTAAAGCTTTTGGAAAGTCCGAAAAGAAAGAAGATGACAACTCAAGAGGAAGAGGCAAAGGTAGAGGAAGAGGCACAAGTTGCAGTAGAGGTCGAGGAAGAAGTAATCATCATAATGAAAATAGTGATGAAGAGGATGAAAAGCCTAGAGATAAGTCGAAAGTTATATTTTACAAATGTAAGAACCTCGGGCATTATGTGAATTAATGTTATTAGTCCAAGAAATATCAGCCGAAGAAAGACAAGTCTGAGAAGGTAAATATAGTAGAGGAGGATGAAAAAGAGACTTCACTCCTCTTGGCAGTTGAAGAAGATGATAAAGAGATTCTTTTTCAAAGAATCTCTCAAACAGATTTGAAGAATGGCTTATGGTATTTAGATATGCATGCCAGAAGTCACATGACAGGTGAGAGAAACTTATTTTTCAAAATTGATAATTCTCACAAGGGTAATGTGAGATTTGGTGATGGATCCAGAATTTCAGTAGAAGGAAGGGGTAAAATTCTATTGAATTTTAATGATGACAAGTCAATGACTCTCACAAATGTTCTCTATACACCGAAGTTGAAAGCCAATATACTTACTCTTGGGCATTTAGATGAGCAAGGCTGTAGAATTCTATTGGAGAATGGTATTTTGACTATCTATGATCAAAGGGGCCAGTTAATGACAAAGGTAATGAGAAATTTTGGGAGACTTTACCTATTGAATCTTGATATTGTGGAGAATTGTCTTCAAGTCAATGGAGAATTGACATAGTGAAAGATCTAAAGGCTAGGCAAAATATACAGAGGGGGGTGAATTGATATTTTAAAATTCTCATATTTTCTTCTTGGATAGTAGATGTGTCAACACGTGTTAACATAGCTCTGAAGTGATTATCTACACATAGGATTGCTTTCTCTCTCCTTCAGCGAGTTCTTACTATGAGACAATAACTTTTTATATTGGTTTGTCCTTCACCTGGCTACTTCTAGTCTCGGAGGATCCTTTCTACCGGTATTCCACTATTTTTCTCGAGAATACACACCGAAATTAATGGGATCAATAGCCTAATACCTCAAGTTTGACTTCAGTAGACATCCAGCCCTTTTTGGGCCAAACATCGTTTAGAGCACCTCGTGCCTCTGCCCAAAATCACTCTTCACTCACTATCCAATTACCTTAGGGCCTGATGGAGAGCCTCCTTGAAAGATTCAAGCTTTATTTTGATCACCAATCATTGATGAACAGGGATGATGCAGTCTACTTGCGGTTGAAGTTTGGCGGCAATGATTCTTGATTGTGAGAGAGATATCTTGTAGTAGATCGAAGTGGAATCATCTTTTTCTAATCTCTCCAACATCCTTTACTTGTAGGGCGTTGTCCTCCAACGGATTTCTTCATTTTGCTCAAGAGATAAAATCTGAAAGTCAGTTCAAATACTTACCATTTTCCGGAACACGTGGCAACAACCTCTGACCGTTGTGAATTCAATATTTTTCTATTCTCTGGTCCGTTCGATTTGAAATTTGAACTAGAGATTCTTCTCTCACAGCCGAACATTCTTTTTCTTGACTTTGTCTTCAGATTTGTCCACGTGAGCTGGTCATTTTCTCCACATAAGCAGTTGGCGTGATATCGTCCAGGTTTCTGGTTCGAGACTCATAAGAGCTCATTTGATATTTCAAATCATTTTGTTTTTCTTTTAATGATGCACGTGACTAATAAATAATAGCTGGACTTAAATGGTTGAATAATCATATGGATAAATGAACTAAAAACATAACCATCATTTACCTATTAAATATTTATTTTCCAACAAATATTTATCCAGATATAGTGGTGCTTCACCTATTCATCAATTCACTTAATCTCAAGGTTAGCCATAATGTCACAAGATAAATAATAAATTTATTTGCATGAAATCTATGAGGCATTTATGATAATCTTGTAAAAAGTATCAAACATGAATTAGATATTTTCTCATATAATTTTAATATCAAAATCTATGCCCAAGAGCATCAACACATAGATGTGGCATAGGAGATATGGACATCTGAACTTTCAGGCCCTTAAACTGCTCTCTACTCAGGAAATGTTCAAAGGATTACCAAAGATGGAGAAAGTTGATGAATTATGTTGGGATTGTGTAAGTTCAAAGTAGGCCAGAGCATCATTTCCATCCTAATCCTCATTCAAAGCCTCAAGAGCTTTTGAATTGATATATGGTGATCTATGTGGGCTTATAGATTCAGAATCACTTGGAGGAAGTAAGTATTTCTTACTTTTAGTTGATGATTTTTCAAGAATGATGTGGGTGACAATGCTGAAAAGGAAATTAGAAGCTTTTGATGCTTTCAGAAGATTCAAGGCCATGCCCGAGGTTGAGAAGAGTATGAAAATTAGATGTCTAAGGACGGATTAAGGAGGTGAATTTAATTCAAAAGAATTCAAAAATTTTTGTACTTTTGAAGGCGCCAAGAAACGACTGACTACTCCCTATACTCTTCAACAAAATGAAGTAGTAGAGAGAAGAAATAGAACCATATTAGATATGGTAAGATGTATGCTTAAGTGTAAGACTCTTCCACAATTTTTGGGGTGAAGCAGTCAATATAGTTGTTTATCTTTTAGATAGAGCTCCCATAAAGAGTCTAGATGGAAAGACTCCATATGAGGCCTGAACTAGAAGCAAGCCTTGAATAGAGCATCTGAGGATTTTCAGATCAATTGTTCATGTCAAATCACTTGGAGGAAAGGTTAAGAAACATGAAGATCGAAGCAGGCCTATGATTATTATAGGCTGCAAAAAAGACTCGAAGGTTATAGATTTTATGATCTGATTACTACCAGAATTCATCTTTCTAGAGATGTGGTCTTCGAAGAAGATAGCAAATGTGACTGGGAAGATACCAAATGAGATAAAAAGTTCAGTATATTTAACTCATAGTTTTTCTTTGATTTCAGCATTGATCAAGTCAATGATATTGATGACTTCAATCAGGCACATAGAGCTGAAGCTCATCCAGAATCTATAGAAGCAGCAGAGAATGAAGAATATGTTGAATCTAATTCATCGTCCTCTGAGGTATAAAGCTCATTTAGTTGTGAAAGGTTATGCTTAGAGGTATGGAATTGATTTCTATGAGGTTTTTGTATCGGTGACCAGAATAGAAACAATTAGAACCTTATTTACATTGTCTGCTCATTTCAGATGGTTGGTACATCACTTAGATGTAAAAGCAGCATTTTTAAATGATGAGATTGAAGAAAAGATCTATGTCAAGCAACTGAAATATTTCGAGAAGAAAGGAAATGAGGAGATGGTTTATAAATTAAAGATGGCTCTCTATGGCCTTAAACAAGCACTGAGAGCTTGGAATGCAAAACTTGACAAGAGCTTATCTTCATTGGGTCTCATCAAGAGTGCACATGAGCCAATGGTTTATTACAAGCACTTAGAAGATTTTCATATTATAATTGGTGTATGTGTGGACGATTTCCTTATAATCGAAAATTCTGGTGAAAGAATTGAAGAATTTAAGAAAGAAATGAAGAAGTTATTTGATATGACTGATCTTGGTCTTCTCAGCTCATATCTTGGAATTCAAGTGGCGCAGGTTAGAGGTGAATTATTCTAACCCAGAGATCTTTTGCATTAAATATTCTCAAAGAATTTGATTTGTTGGATTGTAATCCTACAAAGACGCTACTTGAAGTAAGACCCAATCTCAAACATTCTGAGGACAAAAAATTTTGATAAATTTTTAACATATAGAAGGATTATTGGTTCTTTGAGGTATCTCACTCATACAAGACCTGATATTATGTTCAATGTTGGTTTCTCAGCCGTTTTATGGAAAATCTAATAGCTAAGCATGTTAAAGCTATTAAATGTGTGCTTCGATACATAAAGGGCACACTTGACTTTAGACTGAGATATATGAAGAGTGAACAATTTGTTTTAGCTGGTTATAGTGACAATGACTATGTAGGTGATTATGACGACCAAAAGAGCACAGGAAGAGTTATATATTTCCTAAGAGATAATGTGATTTCTTGAGTTTCACAGAAGTAAAGAATCGTCACTCTATCATCATGTGAAGTAGAGTACATAGCACTTTAACTGCATGTTAAGGTATCAGGTTGGCAGGTCTTCTTGAAGAATTGACCCAGCCGAAGTTCAAACTGATTAAACTCTTGAGAGATAAAAATCAGCCATCGGGCTGGATAAAAATCTGGATTTTATAGTAAATCAAAGCATATTGATGTGTGCTTTAATTATATTAGATCCTGCGTTGAAGATAAGGTGGAAATTGAACATATTGGAACAGAAGACCAGCGGGTAGACATTTTTACAAAGTCACTCGAAAGGGTGAAGTTCAGAGTTGTGTGAGAAGCTTGGGGTATGTGATGTCAGAAATTCTCTAGGCTTGAGGACGTGAATGTTGGACACAATTGTGGAGAGAAATCCCTCCATCAAGATCCTGCTATCTACTGTTTCTACTAAACAACTATGCTTTCTTTTTCTTCTGTTTCTTTGTTTTGCTTAGATGTAATCTATGCAGTTGATTGATCCTACTATAATGGCACAGATGATGCCAAGTAGGATAACATTTAGTAATGACCCTTTAGGTTGTTATTACTGTAGCCGTCATTACAGTTGTTTCATGTACGCCTATAAGGGACGGGTGTGTCTTAATATCATTGATCCACACTCTTTGAATCATTTCTCTTCAATAAGATTCTTTTTCAAGAGTTTGCTCATCCTTCTCGTGTTTGTTGCTTTGAATCTCGGTGACTCCAATTCTACAAGGAGAAGTTTGTTTCTCACTAGAACTAATCTCATTACTGAGAGAGCTCCCATTGCTCTTGCTGCGAAACTAGTTTACATTCGTGTGTTTATCCGAGCAGTCTTGTTTCTTGAGGAGACCCCATCACCAATATTTAATCCCCTATATCATCTTTTCTTGTCATACTTGAATGTTTAAAAGGTGCATTATATTGGAAAGTGAATATCTCACTTTAAGTTTGTGCTTTTACATAATGAGGAGAGATGATGGACCAGGACTATGTGCCGTACGCTATCTAAAACCCTGCAAGTTATGGGATTCCTTCTCCTCGGTTAACCTCACTTCTTGTGGTCGGAATGGAGGTCACATCAGTGTGAAACTATGAAACGCATAGTAATTTTCTTTGAATACTTGTTCGTCGCCGGAAACATGTTCTCATGAACACAACTTTGAAGCCCAACGTCTTCCCTTTCTAGCAGCAGGGTTGCCGCTCACTGCGCGGTCCATCTCAGCCTGGCATCTACTCTCTCCACTCTATAAAAGCCTTGCCCTGCCGCAGTACTCAAGCACGGACCAAGTAGTTTTCTCCTCTCCCACATTCCTTCTGTCCCTTATTTCCCCTGCCATGGCTTCCGAGCTCTATTCCACTATAGCAGTCCTCTGTATCAAGCTGCCCCTCACCGGCTTGGTCTCCGGCACCTCTTACGTCCCGTCTCCCTCGCCATCGGTGAAGCTTCCACCGCCCGTAAAGCCTCCGCCATCATGCAGCTCTTGCCAGCCTTCCTACCTATCCTGCCCCCAGGGACGCTCTCAAGCTGGTAGTCTGCGCGAGGTACTCGACTTGGTCAAGTTGAAACTTGGGAAGTCGCCCAGTGAACCTTGTTGTTCCCTCGTCAGCGGACTCGTTGACCTCGAGGCTGCTGTGTGCCTCTGCACCGCCATCAAGGCCAACATCCTCGGCATCAATCTCAACATCCCCGTCGATCTTTCCTTGCTGCTCAACTTCTGTGGCTACTCCGTTACTCCTGGGTTTAAGCGTGCTTGATTCCGTCCAAACTAAACTCCACTATCTATGTTTGTATCTATCTACTCAGTTGTGGAAGAGCGAGGGAGAATGCTTGACAAATACCTCAGACTCGAGTACAATAACAGAAGTCATGTTTGTGCGCTATGTAGCTATGATATTTGGAGAAACGCCTTGTATCCCATTTAAGTACTTACGCTTGAGGAATATTCTGTTATATACGATGCTTGTTAATCCAGGTAACAGGTTCAATAAGAAAAGTAACGCCAGCTGAACCGAATATGCCTGGCAAATGTATCCGTTCGGAGCCACTTCATTCTAGATCTTCATCCGCCTAAGGAGCCACGTTATCCAGTCGACTGGTACCGAGAGTTGGCTACCTCTCTAATCGATACTGATCAATTGTTTCCACCATTCTTGGAAGGTTATGTCACTCATGGCCAAGTCACGTGCGTGCCCATCCAGGCCTTACAAGTTAATATTAGAGGCACTATCAGTCTACCCTGTGTATCATAAAAATGCATAAGAGCGTCTCATGTATTGGGAAGGTTAAGCTAAAAGTATCTGGACTGAACCGTAGCCGCCAATTGCCGTGGTAGAAGAAGTGACTAGGAGATGCCCCGTTTCTCCACGTGTTTTGCCCGTGTTAATAATCTGCCCGGCCCTTTTTCGTTTGTTCCTGGTGTTTCTTCGCCCACCATGGAGCTCTTGGGTGTGCTCCAAGTTTCCTGGAGGTCATTAAAACTGGCACAGAATGCCTTTTATAGGGGACAATTAGACCTTAGAAGCTTGAAGAATGCACGTTAGAGAGTAGTCCGTCTGGGCCTATTGGAGAGAGCCCACCTGGCAATTTGACCCTCATAATCTGGTTTCCAAGGTCAAAGCACTCGGATCCCAACATGTACGCTGACCTTTCGGAGGTATTAGAGGCCAGGTGCCTAAGCATTTTTTTCTCGGCTGTAGCTCACTCAGACTTCACGAGTAGCACCACTCTAGCGCGAGATGTGTCCTTTTGTTTGCTTTTTACCTAGAATTTTACGTCCAAAAAAGTTTTCAATTAATTTCTTTAAAAAAACGTCTCGGCTAATACAACGTACACTCTATTAGAGTCGACTATTGAATAATAATTTTATTATATTTCCCTAATGACGATAATTAAGTAAAAAGAAAGTTTCCATTATTTGTTGACTGGAAGATCGGAGTAACAGGGCTTTCTGTTCCTAAGATTCCAGGATCCATGCGGAAAGTATTTATCACCTTGATTTATTGGATAGTAGACCTGATAGGAACCCTTAAATCCGTCTTTAAGACCCCCTACATATGTATAAAACCACCAAAGTCGTCGAAATAATAATTTTATGAGAAATAGTTGCCTAATATGGTTGACGAAGAAAGATTCAGAATGTTGTTTGAAAATGCTCAGGAACCAGGATCAGATTCAGACTCCTTTCACCTTCAGAGTGAGGTCCGCAAACCAGGGCCACTTGACTTCTTGATTCAGAGAGAATGTGAGTACCCAAAAGTCGACTCTCGCTCCAATCCCATCGGCCATACAGGATTTTATCCCCGGGTCAACAGTCTGACCCAGAAACCCACCTGGACGCGCTTGAGGGGATTAACCATAGAGGACAAATGATCCCTATCTTGGTTCACGAGGACGAATAAGAAGAAAAATGAGAGCGGAGAGAACCTTGAGAGGTGCCTCTGAGACAATCGTACTCGAGTTCATCGGGCCTGATGGGTCTCCTGAGAGGAATGACGAATTTCCTGTCGACATCCTGCGACAAAGCCTACCTCATATCTGATGAAAAACGACAAGTGCAGTAGGAACAGGGCGGGCGGCACAAGCATTGTCACCTCACGGCTCACTTTATGGCGGCGGCATATACTCACCTAACCCATCTTCTTCTCCGGAATAATACCGCAATACCCGTCGATAGATGATGTATCCCAGCTGAACCAACCAGTTCAGATCAAGGAATATGTTTCTTTTAATTGAAGGATTTCTGACTGCTAGTGCAGGGCAGCGGAACAGACCACCTCATACATCTTGATTGCGGGCATGCTGGATGCTCTCACAAACAGGTCTACGAAGTAAGCTTTATCTCTGGAATAAGCAGATCTTCAAATCGAGATTCAACAGAGTAAATGCTGGTAAATGACGAGAGTTGACTAAAATTTGGATTGCTGTGATGAGAGGCGTTGTGCAGGTATGTGTGTAAATCATTTACTATCTACTTGACTTTTGGGTACCAGTAAATAAAGAGCATGTGAAAAAACTTAAGTCAGCTATTTGACTTTAGTAAATAAGATTTCAAGGTTTGACAATTCAATTCAATACAGTCAAAAATTACTGCAGCAAGCCTAAACAGGTGGAAGCTCAGCCAGATCACGATAGAAACAACCGCTGGGGAACGGCTAATCAACGCCCGATTAGATGAAGACTTGCCTAATGGAGTTCCTGTCTGCCTCCTGGTACTCAATCACTTTCCAGCAATACGGTCAAAAACTAATAGATCAGTAACTAAAAAAGAAACAATTCTATAATCCATTATCATGAGGCAAACGTTTTATTAACAAAGGCACACCCCCGACTGCGCCTATTGGCCCTAGCAAAGCCTGTATATGCGCAGCATACAGGAACTGAACCGGACCCATCCATGACTTGAGAGACATGTTTGCTGCCATTGTGCACAGGGTCTGGCTATACATAGTCTACGTTCAGGCATACTCTCGAGTACAAAACTCACTGGTTCCATGTCCGTGGTACAGTTTCTTCTGGATTCATTCCTCAACAGAAAAAAGAAAATACGATCCTAACTGAAATTTCTCAAGCAGCTGTATGTCAGTTGGGAATAAACATCCCGGTTTACAGATCTATTATGTTCATTGAACATATGAATAAAGAAAATGTCTCGGTGCAATGCAATTTTATGTGCTGCTTGTGGCCAAGTTATTTAAGTCAGTGTAAAATATTCAGTTCATCATATCATATGTTGCAAGTACCTTTGTCTTAGTGTATATCGTGAATTCCAGTTTGCTTGCGCTTGTGTTTACTGCGTCTTTCATGCTTTACCTGTTCCTCTTCAACAACTAGCAAATATTATTCGGCGGATTTCTCACTGTGATTTGATATTTCTGCAGTCATGGAAAACGTTGAAGGGAGCGTGAATCCTGGCATGGACATATTACTTCAGTTACTGTTTCTTCAGTATACCGAAGGCAGAAATTAGCCAAGAAACTCATGCAGTTGCTGGAGTACATATGTGACAAGTAACTATACATCTGAATTACTTTTATTTGTTCTGTCACTGTTATATATCTTTGATTCGTGTGCTTACGCGAGATGGGTTCACAGCATTGTAGGCTGGCTCATAGCGTACAACACTAACCAGTATGCCAATGGGCCATTGTATTGGGGATGAATAACTAAAGTTTCTGGGTACCAACATTCACTAAACTGGTTAGAGATAAAGATGTATGATTGGTTTAGGTGTTTTATTCTTGATACTTGTCGCAGGCTCTTGTCACACATGATTTTTCTCTTGAGATGCTCCATGAATTTTTCTCTTTCAACTTAGGTGCAGTTCTATGATTTGGACGAAGGTCAACGCAAATTATGAAGGATAATGTGATTATCACTTCAAATGAGCCTTCGTCAGCTAGTGCGATTGACCTTCCAAATTTTATTTCCTATTAATACACAGTCTTCCCCAGCTGACTCAATGGTGAATGCTTGGTTTCTGATTTTCGCTATGGGGGATAGTGGGGATGTGGATGAATAAGCTTTTGATTTCTCTCATATAGAAAGCAGGTTATGTTGCTAGGTTCAATTGAGATTGGCCTTCGGCTAAGTAGTTTGAACATGCTGTACCGAGCTGACACAGATGCCTTAAGATCAAAGGTAAGGGGACGAGGCGCAAATGGGGCCAAATTATTACTCTTTCAGACGATGGACTACATAGTGAAAAGAATTCAATGCCCCAAATGCTGGAGTTAACAACAATAACAATGATCATTCATTCGACTTTAGTTTACTGCATAAAATAAATACCAATTCGTGGGACCGTGACACAATAATTCAACCCAAATATTGAGAAACGATGATAACTACGATTTTAAATGGATTCGTCACCTTGCACTTCCCATCGAACTGATATCTATCATGTAGAACTTTTACCATGCCTTATTCATTTTCCTTTTTCCGACTTTCTGCTTCCTCTTTATAAGGAGCAACTAAAGTTTCTTAATTCAAAACGAAAAAATATGCACTGGCCCATCAGATTGGAACCTAATCTCATTACAGAGAGAGCTCCCATTACTCTTATTGCGAAGGAAGTTTACATCCGTGTATTTATCTGGGCTGTCTTGTTCTGTGAGTAGACACCCAAAGTAGACATTTAAATCAAAAAGGCTTTAACTTAATTATGATTCTACTCTAATAGATAGGAAAAAGTATATCTATTTAGATGTAGGAAAATTAGAAGAAGGAGAATTTAAATTTTTAATAGATTTTTTGTAACTTTGGAAATCACAAAGAGGATTTCCGGACTGAGCGGGAGGGGAAAAGAATTAGTTGAATTTCCCCGTACCAGATCAATATACCGCTACCTGACCCACCCCTTACTATACAAGCCACCTATTAGTACTAATAGAGTAGACTAGGATTGACCTGCAAGAACCTATAGGTGTAACCTTTCGCTCAATACGAAAATCAACGATTGAAGCATCTGAGGCCACTCGAGGATACACGACAGAAGGCATTGTTCTATCTCCAAACGGAAATTCAAAAGTTACTAATGGGCTTAATAGCGGCCTCATTACAAATAGCTCACTAGCAGGCCTCATATTGGCACATTACAATGGGAGGTATTTAAAGGAAGAGAGAGGAGAAAGAAAGGGGGGTAATCAGGGGTGATTAGTAAGAATTAAGGCTTGTGAGAGAGAAAATCTCCATCTACCATTCGCTAAAAAGGGGGAAGTAATCCATCATAAAATATTTCAACTATTTGAGTTTAAAAAATACCATGATATGGACATTTTCCCATCAAGTCTTTCATTCAAGCCCATGCCTCAAGAAAAGCTTTTCCTGAATTTTGTGAAAAATCTAAAATTACTTTCCTCATGGTTTTGGTTTTTCCACTAGAATAAAATCTGTTTAAAAAGTCTTACAATAATATAGTCCATGTTCTACTATTTCTATCTAAAGTAAAAAACCAATAACTAGATTCATCCTTCCGAGAAAAGGGACATAAAATTAAACTCATAGAATCATCTGCTAGCTTAATTTTAGTATAAATTCTTTGAAATTTTCTAAGATGAGCATAAGGATCTTCATGTTCACGGGCCTAAAAAGTATGTAACATTTGAAAGACACTAGGCTTAATTTCCTCGGCACACATAGGGTTATCTAATAAGTATTCACATGGATATGAGGTGAAATTATCCTTTAATAATCTAAGAGGTTGTTGATTGGTATTTTAGGGATTCATATTTTTTAATTTCTAGTAGAAAAATTTTTCTTTCTAATTCCAGAAAACTTAAGCCTTGGTTTTAATGATCATGTAGCTAGGATGCATCACAGAAAACGTAACAAACAATGAAACTAATAACATAATAATAACTAAAAGCAAATAAACGAAGACAACTATCACAATTTTTTTATAAATATCTATTTTTTATCTATTACATGGATCATATATAACACTAATTTCTAACAATCTTCTGCAAAAATGGTGCCAAAATTTGTCTACATATTTTCTATCATTAATAAGAAGATTCAGCAAATTAAAAATTTTTAAATGTTGGGAAATAAGCTAATTTAGAAATATTTACTTTTATAGGGGCTTTTCCAATTGAACACAAGGAAGATAATAACATCGTTAGTTATATTTATGATTTACAATTGATAGATTAAGTTTTTAGAACTTTTAATTTTAAAAATGATTAAAATACATTAAAGTATTTGTCCTCCCTAAGCATTTTTCATCTTTCTATGAGAACGTGGTTGTGGAGGGTGCTTGATTGACCCAAGATGCTCGATTCTTCCTCTCTAAGCATTTTTTCATCTTTCTATGAGTTAATCCCATCAATTTCGTCAAATCATTCACTATATAGTTGTATTCATTACATCTGTCATTGATGCAAAGAACCTAAAAAAAAATTAGTCTTATATTTAAAGTTTTATTATTTTCTTATTATTTATTGTAGTGAGCTCAAAAACATTCAAGAAATTACAGAAAATGTTAAGAAGAATTCAGAAAAAATACAATTAATACAAAAGCATTATAAGAATAATAATCATTGGGAAAAACTCTCAAAATATTCCATGGTCGATTTAAGCATATAATTTCTAAAACTTAACAAAAAATCGTATAAATAATTTTAATATCAGTTTTTATAAATTAAAGAAAATTTTAAATATTTCTGAACATTAAGAGTATTAAGTTGTCAAAATATTAACTCTTCTAGCATGTAATTAAGGAGATTATCAATAGCCCACTAAAGGTCTTCAAAGGATGTATTTTCTTTCTCTCTATGCCGTTTAAACCCATCTGTTATGCAAGAGAAAACCTACATTCCCATATGTTAGCGGCCATCATTTCATTAGAAACAAATGCTTGAGGAAAGTATTTTTTATAGTGAACAGATTTAATATAAAGGGAAAGACTTGGCCTTCATGTCCATCATAAATGGACCTAGAGACTGATTATAAGATGCCCCGTCACTTGTTACTACACACAATTGACCGCTTCCTATTCAGTGTAGATTCCTCCTTGGTTATGTTTTTTAAAACCGTTGAAATCTACATTTTGATTTATATACTCAATTATATTATCCCAATATTTGAGTGAATGCAGTCATGACATTCATAGGACATCCGCATGATTGTCTAGTGTTATATATCACATGCGGGGAGCGCAACAACCGTTCAAAATAGTAAGTCATAAACTTGACGTCCCCGTTCCTAGGGCATTTCGAAGGACCACATTTTTTCGGGCCAACTGAATGATTTATTTAGTCAAAATCCTAGGACGTCGATTCCGAAAAGCATTCCCTGTACAGTCGTAATCGTAATAATGCACTTCTAAGTCCTGGTAGTTTTATGTGCATTCGGCTGTTCAGAGCATTACCAGGTTGCCTGATTCAGTCAATCGCCTTTCTACAACCTTCCTGTGAGTGGGAATGTGTCGTTTAGTTGAATCTATTTCAACTATGCTATCTCGACTTCGTCAAAATTAAGTGCATAAGTGATTTAATTCAAGAAGGGTTTTTGATAAATCCAAACTTAATGTAAATTAAGATAGAGTTTACGTTATTCACGTGAATATCCCGGAAATATTTCTGTCGAAATATAAGTTTGTGTACGGTAAAAATATAAGTCCATCTATTTTGTGAGGTTGGAATCATTGACATCAGGTTGGACTCCGGGTTCTTCCGGCTTAAATTCTGCCCCATTGAGGACTTATTTGAAGATCGGTCATAACGAACTAAATGCAACCTGTACAAAGAGTAAGTTATTCAAATAGATAAATACTTCTCATCTTCCAGAACTTTTAAAAAGTAAATCCAACCGTTTGTTGCATTACGATTAGTTTTAAAACAATTCACAAACCTTACTGCAGTTACACTTTAGAAAAACTGGAAATTGCAACAGAACTTTAGTTCTCATCAATTCAAACCTTCCATTCATCACTTAATCTTTATTGTTGCCTTCTCGACAATCATCTGTCACTGTATTTCCGTCACCATTCATAGCAGCTCGCTACACATCCACACGACATCAGGCATGGCGATGCTCGGATATAGTTATAGATTTTATGAATTTGCACCACTTCCAATCAAGGAGGCAGTTCCAACAGTGACACCCACTGTTGGAAATGCCATCTCCTA